TCCCCGGCCCTTCCCGCTGCCTCCAGCAGCCATTCCCCCTGCACACACACACCGGGCACGTTAAGGAGCTGGGGGTGGGGGAATCTCCAGGCACAGAGGGGCAGAAGCAGCCAAACCAAAATGAGGGCTCGGGAGCCTTTGCCCACAGTCAGTGTGAACCGGCCCGTGGTGCCAATGAGCACAGCAAAATCCACAGGGGACTAAATTTGGAGCGGAAGCTGAGGGAGACTGAGCAGCAAAACAAGCTCAACCCGGGCTTTTGAGGTCAGAATTAAGAATCTTTTCTGTCATGAGAAGAGCTACAGGCAGCAGCACTGGGATCCACTTCAGAGGTTTATTATTATTAGTCTTTCAGGGAGATTCCAGTCACAGTTCCAATCTACTTCTGCAGAAGCAGCAGAAACCCACCCTACAGCACAGCCACTGTCCCAGTGACCCTGTGCTGGGGGAACACTCTGACACCAATCAGCAAGAAGCATTTTAATGTTCAATTTCCATCTACAAAATAAAATACACCTACGTGGAGGAAAAACAAAAAGCAAGAGGTGTTTCTCTTCAGTATCACCAAAGTCAGTTCTGGGATTGAACAGTGTGCCAGCCTGAACTACAGCACTGATTTTGAACTCACAGGACTGTAGTACAGGAAAGGCTGCATGTCAAATTTAATCAAACTGAGATCAGCACAACGCTTTAATGAATTAAATCATATGTGCATTTTATCATCACGCTATTTCCAAAGAGATCAGTGTTGATTCACAAGGAAAACTACGGAAATTTCATGTACTGTAGATAAACACCTTCACGAACTGCATTCGTGTGGTAATTAAAAATCCAGTCAGCTCTTCCATTACCAGCATTCCCTTATGGTGTAAGGGATCCAAATCACCCAGGGAATACCATATTCTGCACAAACATGACCTGATCCAGCTGCACATCACCTGATCCAGTGCAGATAAACATTCAGGATCTCCAGATGGTAAATATTTACTTGCCCAAACCACCATACTGTATGTTTCAGACTGAATTATTTAGACATTAACAGTTAAAATGACAACATCAAGTCAACTGACACAAAGTAAAAACAAACATAAGAGCAAAATACACAAATAAAACGTTTAAAACAGTCAAGTAGGGCAGAATATGGCAATAAAAGCTTCTAATTGCTAAAGATTTAAGAGTGGAATTGCTGGTTTGTATTAAAGCCTGACTGCAATCACATCAGGGCACGCTTTCATTTTTAATTGACTTTGGCTTCTAAGAGAATCAAGCAAAAAAGCTTTGCAAACAGCAATACTTAAGTTTTAGAAGCTGAAAGGTAAATATTCACCTCCCAGAGAGGCTCCACCTGCAAGAACAGAAGTGGCACCACACGTCTGTCAGTCTCCCGGAAATTCAATAAAAAACAACCAGTGCATGACATGGAGACAACACACCTGAGATATCTGTAACCTGCTCTAAAAAGCCCCAAATACCTCCTGCCTGTACTACTGGGATGTGTTTACTGCAGATTATTAATACATATCCTCATCAGCAGGTACTTCACTGCAGTAAGGTCACCCTGAGCAACCTCAGCAGGACGGGACAGCACAGGAGTCACCCCCAAGGAGTAACAGTAAAACACAAAGCAGTGAGCACAAGGAATAAAATAGATATTTATCCCTTCCCCAGCTACTTTCAACTCTCAGAGAAAGGGAAACACAAGGAGGTAAATTAAAACCATTCTAAGAGCAAACTGACAAGCTTGGCTTTCTGGCGAGCATCTCGATTTATCTGGTCACCATAAAGAAACAGCTGAACCTTCCCAAGAACTGAAGTTAATCCTTCTATAAAAAGGCACAGTGAGACTGTTCTGAGCACAAGCATAAACTCAGCTCACACGACAGCTGAACTGCACAGATGCCCAGAGGACTGGGAAATGCAGCTTAGTCCCAAATATCCAAAACCCTCCCGAGTAAAGAACTTGCCGTTCAAGCTTCCACTTGTGGACACAGCGTTGCTCTGTTTCTGGTTGTCATAGGCAGGGCCAATATTGGCAAGATCCTGCAAGAGATCAAACAATCTGCTGAACACTTGGTGAAAGGTGCCACCCTGAGCTCAAGCAGGGCACTCCCAGGTGCTGGAGCTCCCACCCACCGCTGGCACAACATGGACTCGTGGTAGAGCTTTGCCCCTTGACTGAGCAGAAGGCACCACAAGGATCCCCCACTCCTCCCTTCTCTCATCACATACCTGGTCTAGAAGCCCAAATTTGGGGTAATCTTCCTCTGGGTCTTTACTGCCCGGGTCTGGGTGCTCTTTCACCAGGAACACGTCTCTTTCTTTGCACTGAAACAGAGGAGTTCAAGTCACGCAGGGTAAGATTGTAACAAATTCATTAACAAGTGTTTAAATCCCAGTGTGTACTATTAATATGGCGGAAGTACATCAGCATCTTCACCCTTCAGCCCCAAGCTCAGCCCTAAGCACACACCAGTGTCAGAAAACCAAAATGTTCGTGGTAATTCCTCCAGGGATTTATGCCCAGTTCTTACCATGGTTTTGACAATGTTATTGGGCCAGGTCATTTTCCCAGGTCTCTGCCGCGTTGTCATACACTCCCAGTACTTATCAATGAACGGGATAATATCCTGTGAAAGCAGAGAACATTTCTCTGAGCTCCTCCTCACTGACACCACCCCTGACGCGGACCCGCGGCGGTTCCGTCACAGCCAAACCTTATCCTTAGAGAACATTGTCTTGGGGTGCTCGTCCTGTGTCCTCGACTGCCATGTGAGGTTGGCCAGAGCACTAAGGCACATTTCCTTGAGATCTGGAAAACAAAACACCCCAGGGATACACTTACACCTGGTGAGGAAGATCAGGACACCCACCTGTGTTCACAGCATCACCCCGAGGAACAGCAAACCCCCTCGAGTTCATCCTGATCAGCCCCCACTGAACACATTTACACCATCTTCAGCAATTAAAACAGCAAAACATTTTTAGAAAAAGCCTCAGATTTGCTGCTATGAATTTTCTGGTCATTTTCCAAGGGTCTCAGCAGAGCCCTCCCAGACAAAACCAAACCTTCAGGATCATCTTGCACAAAACAACCCCCAAAGTGCTTCTCCCAGACTCACTTGCTTGTTTCCTCAGGAAGTAGGTGTTCCCACTGTGGTGGCACACGTTGCAGTGGAAGCTGTAATTGGTCATGAAGGGCAGACAGGACCTGGGAAAAAGCAGGTTTGTCAGGGCTGGGTACACTATAATTACTGCATAGGATTAAAGGAATCCCAGAATTACTGAGATTGGAAAAGACCTCTGACATCATCGAGTCCACCCTGTGCCCAATTCCCACCTTGTCCCCCAGCCCAGAGCACTGAGTGCCATGTCCAGTCCTTCCTTGGACATCTCCAGGCATGGGGACCCCACCACCTCCCTGGGCAGCCCCTTCCAAGGCCTGACCACCCTTTCCAGGGAAAAATTTCTCCTGATGTCCAACCTGACCCTCCCCTGGCACAGCTTGAGGCTGTTTCCTCTCATCCTGTCCCTTGTTTCCTGGGAGCTCCCCCCTTCTGTCAGGGAGTTGCAGAGCCAGAAGGTCCCCCCTGAGCCTCCTTTTCTCCAGGCTGAGCCCCCCCAGCTGCTCCTGGTGCTCAAGACCCTTCCCCAACTCTGTTCCCTTCCCTGGGCAGGCTCCAGCCTCTCAGTATCTTTCTTAGAAAAGAAATAAAATCAATTATTCCTTACTATGCTGGATTAAGAAATTAATTATTCCAGGTTAGAAACCAATTATTCTCTCTCTCCCTGAGCCCAGAAACACCTTACAGGCTCAGTGGTATCTGGTGGGGGTGCTTTTATCACGGGCAAAGTCTTAGTTATTTACACAACATGCTGGCTTCCAAGTGTCCAAGGATACAGACGGGGCCTTGGTCCTTGGGAACTCGCACTCTAAAACACCCCCTTCCTGCTGCCAGGGCTCACGTACGTGGTGTCGATGCCGAAGGTGTCGGCCGTGAACCACTTGGTGCAGATCCCACACTGCAGCTCGATCTCGCCCAGCTGCCGCGTGTTCTCCTCGTCCCCCGAGCCCCCCTGGGCATCCAGGGCCTCGGCACCATCCCCAGCTGTGTCCTGGAATGGGAACAGAGCCAGGGAATCACACACTGCCCTGGTAGAGCAGAGCCAGGGAATCACACACTGCCAGGGGCAGAGCCAGGGAATCACACACTGCCAGGGGCAGAGCCAGGGAATCACACACTGCCAGGGGCAGATCCAGGGAATCACACACTGCCAGGGGCAGATCCAGGGAATCACACACTGCCAGGGGTAGATCCAGGGAATCACACACTGCCCGGGCAGAGCAGATCCAGGGAATCACACACTGCTACCTTTAAATGGAATAAATCCCTCCCCCTGATCCGTGCCCGTGCTGGAGCTATTCGAGTGAAGATTTAACTTCCAAAATAACCCTTTCCCCAGACCCAAAGCTGGGGGGATGTAAATTCCCTTAGAGCTGAACCACCCACCACCTCCCGTGCCCACAGCACCTACCAGGGGCTCCTTGCCGTTGGCGGACTCGGTCTCCAGGGCCGTGGTGACATCGACCAGGGCGGTGTCCCCGCTGCCAGGGCACAGACGTGTCAGAGGAGCGGCCCCCCCGGGGACCCCCGGGAATGGGGGGGGGGGGCTCAGCCTGGACCCGGGGCCCGGCGCGGGATGAAGGGGTACGTGCAGCTCCCCCCCGCCCTCCCGGTGTCGCTTGAGCCCCCCCCGGGACCCCTCTGGGGCGGGGCGGGCCCCCCATCCCCGTTCCCATGGTAACGCAGCCAGCCCCCCCCGGCCCCTTTTCCCCCATCAAAGCCCTCGCGGTGCGGGGGGTGCGGGGGTCGCTCGGGCGCGCGCAGGGAGGGCCATACCCGCTCTCGGCGTCGGCGGCGGGCGGTTCTGGCGGGGCCGGGGGCTCCGGGGCCGGGGGGGGCTCCGGAGGCGGCTCCGCGCCCTCGGCCGCCGCCGCCGCCATGTTCGCCCGCCGCCCGCGCTCGCGGCTCTCGCGAGACCCGGCGCTTCAAAGGGCGATGGCTCCGGGTGGGCCCCACAGCGGCGCGGCGGCGCCACCTGGCGGCGGCCGCCGGGAACGGCGCGGCGGGGAGATGGAGCCGTGACGTCACGTTTCCCTTCTGTCGTGACGTCACGTTCTCAGTGTCGTGACGTCACCAGGCCACAGCCTGAGAGGGAGGTGCGGGGCTGGCAGCGGGGTAAGAAACCGCCAGCGGGTCCCAGGTTTCCCCGGTGCCCCGCACGTTTCTCCCAGGGAAGGAGGAGCGTTGCCTCGCTGGGAGACAGGCGGGGACGAAGGGAGACCCTCACTGAGACCCCCACCCTGGAGAGGCTGGGGTCCTCGGGTACCCCAGATCCCGGTCCCTTCTCCAAGGAGCAGGACAGGATTGATGGGTGGCGGGGAATGTGCCTGGGTCACTCGTCCGCAGGGGTCCCGGGTCGTGCCGTCCCCGCTCCCACCAGCCACGGCAGGAGAGGGATGGAGGGAGCTGGTGGTGGGGACGAGCCCAGGAGGGATGGAGGGGAGGATGGAGAGGGAAACGGGCAGGACGAGAACTGGAGGGCTGGAGGGATGAGTCGGGTGGATAAGGCTGGAGGCAGTTAGGGAAGGGTGGGAAGGAGAGAGGGAGAAAGAGAGGAACGAGAGACGGCGGAGTTGGAAACGGGGAGGGATGTCAGCGCGGAGATGGGGGTGGAGGGGAGGGAGGATGGAGATAGGGACGGAGGGCTGGGAAGAGGGATGGGGAGAAGAGGGGAGGGGGCTGCCGGAGAGGGGGGTGCCCGGGGCGGCGCTCGGGGCCGCTGTACAAATAGGGCGGCTGCGGGTGACCCGGGCAGACATGCGGGTCCCGCTCCGCTCCGCGCCCGCGCTGGCGCTCTGCGCCCTCGCCCTGCTCCGCCTGGGCTGCTCATCCCCCCGGGCACCCACCTGGGCACCGACCGGAGCATCCCCCAGAGCACCCACCCGGGCGCCCACCCCGGCCCCGGCCCGCGCCCCGCCGCGCTGTCCCCCGCTGATGCTGCAGCTGCTCCGCGCCCCTCCCGCCCCGCTCCGCGCCGCCGCCGCCGCCGCCCTCAGCCTCTCCCCGCACGGTGAGTGGGGCCTCGGCCCCGGACATCCCTGTCCTGGGACCGGCACTGTCCCCGGGACCCTCACCATCCCTGAGCATCCCTGTCCTGGGACCGGCACTGTCCCCGGGTCCCGTGCGGTCCCCGGGCAACCCTGTCCCCGGGATCAGCACCATTCCTCTTCCCGGGACTGGCACTATCCCCAGGCGTCCCTGTTCTGGCACAGTTACAGTCCCCGGGACCTGCACCGGCCCCAAGCATCCCTGTCCAGGGATCCCCACCGTCCCGAGAATCCCTGTCCCCTGGACCAGCCCTGCCCGGAGCTCTCGCTGGCTCTTGGGGTGGATCCAGCAGCTTTCCCCTGACCCTCGGGCTCCCGCAGCAGGGGCACGAGGGCACCGTCCCTCCCTGCGCTGGCACCCCCGGCCCCACGTCCCCTCACCTTGCCCTTGGCTTTCAGGCTCCCTGCAGAACGGCTCCCGCTGGGCGCTCTCCTTCGACATGTCCTCCCTGTCCAGCAGCCAGGAGGTGAGTCTGGCCCAGCTCCGCATCCGCCCGCCCGGGCTCTCCCACTCCCACAACGTCTCCCTGGACATCTACCACAGCCAGCGGCGCAGGTGCCGGGGCCACGGGACCTGCACCCACCAGCTCTTCCTGGGCACCGTGGCCGGCAGCCCCTCTGCCACCCAGGCCTCCTGGGAAGTCTTCGAGGTCACCAACCTGCTCCGGTCCTGGCTGCACCAAGCCGTGGTCCCCGGGCACCACAGTCCCATGGGAAAGGAGCGGTGGGAGGTGAACACCTCAGATGTCCCGGCCACCAGTGCAGTGCACTCGCCCACCCTGAGCGACGCTGGCCACTGGGAGCCAGCCCTGCCCCAGGACGTGGCAGACAGAGTCCTGCTGCTCGTCTTCTCCACGGACAAGTCTCCGGGAGACCACAGCCTCATCAGGACAGCGGAGACCTCCAAGTACATCATGCGTGACAGCGGCTCCCAGGGCGAGGGGACGCGCCGGCACCGCAGGAACAGGATGGAGAAGCAAAGGATCAAAGCGAGCGACGCTGCTGCGGCCACGCCGCGGGAGGAGGGCAGGGCCCTGTGCAGGCGGGTGGACATGATGGTGGATTTCGAGCAGACGGGCTGGGGCAGCTGGATTGTCTACCCCAAAAAGTACAACGCCTACCGGTGCGAAGGGCTGTGCCCCTCGCCCGTGGACGAGACCTTCAAGCCCACCAACCACGCGTACATACAGGTAAGAGGAGCTGCCCCTGTGCCCCCCACACTCCCTGCCCTCCACCCACGGTAGGGGGGATGTTCTGCCCTTCCCGTGTCTCCCACAGAGTTTGCTGCAGCTCTACAAGCCCAACCAGGTGCCGTGTCCCGCCTGCTCCCCAGTCAGGATGAGTCCCCTCTCCATGCTCTACTACGAGAAGGGCGAGATCGTCGTCCGCCACCACGAGGACATGATCATCGAGGAGTGTGGCTGCAACTGAGGCCACCTCGTCCCCCACTGGGAAGGGGCACATTTCTGCCCAGAAGTGCCCCCAAGGACCGACCACCCGACCTACGGCCATCGCACAGACCGGGGCATCTCGAGCCCGTGTGACTGTGGGTCAGCAAAGCCCTGGCTGGGCCAGGGGAGGAGTGGGGTGCCGGGGTGTTAGCGTTGCTTCATGGCCATGGTGCATGGCTGGATCCAGGCTCCACGCAGGAAAGGCCACCAGCCACCTCCCTTTGGCACCTTGGTGCCCCACAGGGTGATTTTCCAGGAGCTGTGGTGCTGCTGGGAGGTGTGCCTGGGGCAGCCAAGGGCAGAGGATGAAGTGCAGGACTGGAGCATGGCAGCATCACTCCCTGCCAGGGCACACTCTGCTCCCTCCATGAGACCATGGATCTGCTCAAGCCTTTTCCCCCCTCACTGGATGGGGTGGTAGAGAAAGGGTCACGGTTGTAAAACTCATCAATAAATTATATATATATATATATATATTAAAAATGCCTGGTGGTTCAGCTGGTTTCCACAGCCCGTTTTTGCTGTTGGTGGTCTGTGAGGGTGCAGTTCCTCCATCTCTCTGTCCATTTGCTCCTTCACCAGTAACACCAGAGCAGGTGGGCTCTGGCTGTTCCTGACACTGCCAGAGCAAAGGGGTCCCTCCAACAGTGCAAAAGATGCTCAAAAGCTCCAAAGTTCATGTGAGATAAGGACGAAGCTGCTCCCACTCTGACGGGAGGTTGCTCAAGAGCAAGCAGGGAGGCACCTGCAGGCGGGGAAGGGGAGGTTAAAGGGATTTCCCACCCTTATTTACCCCTCGGAGATAAGGGAAGGGCCGTGCTTTCTAACGGCAGTGAATTCTAAGCCTTGTGGCCAGTGCAGGCAGCTCCTTTGGGTCACCAACCCCGTGACAGCAGGAGAACCGCAGCCCCAGGCAACACCCGGGCCTCCAGTGCCCTGGGGTGACCGTGTCCCCCCTGCACCCCAGTCCTGGCGGGGGATGCTCCTCCTGGGCAGAGAGAGTCAGTGCCGGGGTTTGGCTGCAGCCCCGGCCGTGGGGCTGGGGTCCCCCAGGCTCAGGGCTGCCCCCGTGGATGGGGAACACAGCACTCGCGGGGGGGACCCACGGTGGCCCCCGCGCAGCCGAGGGGACGGGAGGGACCACAAGCGTCGGGGCTGGCGGCGGGTGGCCCTGGTGGCAGCGCAGGATGGGACAGGGGCCACCTCCATCCCGCCCCTCCTGGGACCAGCAGCCCCGACTCCACATCCCAGCCCAGCCTGATTATCCCCAATCCACATCCCAGCCGGCGGATAAACAAAGCGTGTCTGGTGTGTCCCCCCTCCCCAGCAGACCCTCCCCGGGGCCGCTTACATATTCCAACAGCTTTCACACTGCGACCATCCCGTCATTAGAGGGTCATTTGCAGGAGCTGTCAAGGGTGGGCCGGGGGCGCGGGGCTGACCCCCGGCAGGAGGCAAAGCCATGCAGAAACCTGCACATCTGCTCTGTGGGTGACATAAAATCACATTATTTTGCCTCTTTCTCCGCGGTTTTGCCACTCCTGCTCATAAACGGGAGGATTCACACCCTCACGCCCAGCCCGGGACGCCCTGGCCCCCCCCAGCCCCCACTGTATCTCTGCCATCTCTGCCCCTCCATCACGCCTGTTTGGAATCCAGCAGAGGGTTCAAAAGTTGTGGCGGGGCAGGGGGAGGCAGCAGCCGTTCCCTGGGAAGAGCGGGGTGGAAAAATAAAGGCTGAGATTCCAGGGCTGTAAGGAAAACATCAAAGTGCGGGCGGTGACAATAAAGCCGGGTTTAGGCGAGGATCTGCTGGCGAGCCGGGCTCTGCCAGGCTCAGGCTGTGAGCAGGGACCTGATCTGAGCAGGGGGAGCTGTGGCCCTGCTCCTGCCCCAATCCACATCGGCTGTGGAGGGGCCGTGGGGGGGACAGAGGGAGCCCAGACACGCAAGACAATAAAGTGGGGGGACAGCCCCAGCCCTGCCACGGGGTGCTGCCTGAGACCCTTCAGCATCCCAGGGCCAGAGGGGAGCTGGCAGATCTCTGCTCTGGGAAGGGCTGGCTTGGTCTCAGCAGCCTTAAACATAAAGGACAGAGCCTCCCCGTGCAGGGAAGGTTTTCCAGCAGGGAAGGTGCCCGGGGTTTTCTGGGAGGGCAAGACTTGGATACAAGCAGTGACCACTCTGGGAGCACGGCAGTGTGGGGCAGCTGAGCCTGGCTGGGATCAGTCTGGAGGGACAGCCACAGGGATGGCAGGCACGAATTGCTTTGGACACACGAGGAAAGAGCAAAAACAAACAGGCCAAGGGGCTTATCACAGGCCCAGGGTAATATTTGCACAAGTGGTGCACTAAGGCACAAGCTGGGGCGGGCAGGTGGTGTTTGTCCCGTGACTGGGACACAGAGCAGGACACAGGGACATGGAGAAGGACTCAGGGACACAGAGCAGGGCACAAGGACTCAGAGGAGGACTCGGATGTGGAGCAGGATGCAGGGACACCGGGTGTGCTGCTCTACCCTCTTGCGACAAAAAGGGGCCGGGATGGGAAATGCAATGACAAAGCCAACACTTGTCCCTGGACCTCCCCAGAGCATCCCAGTTGTGCCACAGCCACCCACAGCTGCCTTCCCTCCCTCCCTGCCTCCCACCGTGCTCACCAGGGCTCAGCCTGCAGGAAAAGCAGCTCCTTGGCCTGGGAGAGCAAGTGTTGGGCAAGGAACAGAGCCTGGTGGAGCAGGGAACTGCCCTGGAATGCTGAGCTGCTCCGTGCAGGGCTCAGGAAAGCTTGGAGAGCTGCAAACACGAAGGCAGGCAGGAGATGGATCCGAAACTGCCCAGCTGAGGGATGCAGTGGCTGGGGGTGTGAGGGAGGGGGGGAAGGACTGGAGCAATGGGGTGCTGAGACCACTTGGTCCCACGCCACGGGTGGAAAAGTTCAAGGAACGGGCTCAGGACAAATTGCAGGGAGCAGATGCCCACAAGTGTCGCGTCACCTCATCCCATCCACAGCTTTGGTCAGGACTCTCTCTGCCCCCCACGACTGCCCCCAAGTGCCTGTGGCCCCAGGGCCCTGGCCTGGGAACCCAGCGGGAGCCCCAACCCTCCCGGACAGAGCCCTGGTCACACCTGGCCAGGTGTTTCACAGGGAGCCCTCCCTCCCTCCGAATTATCAGCTATGCATTGCTGTCCCAGGCACCTGGGGCTTTGATGCTCCCCCAGATCTGCATAAGCTTCAGATACCAATGCAAAGCTTCCAGGGCAGGGACAAAGTACTTAACACTTCCAGCACGTGTTACCTCTCCTGCAGGTGGGAGGGAATGGGATTTAAGAGCATTACCTGCAATACCTGACCCTTACCCCAAAATCCAGGCCTTTGTACCGACACCAAATCCTGACCCCACAAGGCTCCTGGCTCTTGCAGCAGCTCCTCTCCAAACCCTCATCAGAACCAAACCTGTGCAGAGTTGCAAGACTGATAAAGTCACACCAGAGGGCAATAAATTTGGATTTGTTCCCATTAAGGTTTCAGAGAAATCCTTAAATCTTATCTTGGAGAAATGCGGGTTTATCTGCAGCAATTGCTTTGTTCTGTTACTCATTATTAAGGGTTTGCATATCATAATGTCACCACTGAGCCTCATTAGCAGATATTTAAAAGCTATCTACAGAATCTGATCTGCACAGACACTCATTGTGGTTCAGGAAGTCTGAGGTCCAGGCTGTGTCCTGATATGGATTGTCCTCCTTTGAGGTGCCTCCACTCCCCCTCAGCATTCACACAGCAATGTGTTAGAACCTCTTGCAGACCACATTTATTAAACCCGAGGCTAAAAACACAGATATTTGGTCGATGGGGATGCAAATTGAGCATTCCCCATGGGAAAAATTAACCTTTCTCAGACGAAAATTCCCCTCTCAAACCCAGACTTGTTTCTAACCTCCCCCCTCAGCCAAACCCTCTTTTCCAAAGCCCTGACCCCTGCCTACCACAGGATAAAAAGGAGAAACAAGGGTGAAGTTTCAGCAGGGATGACAAACCCAGGCAAGCACTCACCCCCCAGAGAGATCCACTCTGGAACACCTCAGGCCGGTGGTTTCTTGCCAGAATAAGGGATAGAAGCCACATTTATTGCATTCATCTCCACACCAGGAGACTCCACATGATTTTTATTTCTCCCTTATATAGCATTTCTGTAACTGTTACAGTATTAAAATGATTAACAAAAGCATAAAACTGGAACCAAAACCAAGGGGTGAGAGTGTCTCCTCTGGCACTCTGAGACCCGGCCCCTGGAACAGGACACGCTCTGCTCTCCCAAGGGAATCAACTGCCTTTCCCAGGAGCAGGAAGGCACTCAAGGCGTGGGCTGCTGTAAGCCTGGCTGGTGGGAATCCTCAAAACAAGTCCTGGTGCTTCACTGGATCAGCACTCCCCGGGCAGGTGCGTTAGATGTCCATGTCAAACTGCTCTTCCTCACCTGCTGAGGGGACAAAACCACAAATGAGACCTCTGAGTTCCACACTGAATACCAGAGATTGTACTGAAGGGGCGACTGGCAGCTGTGCTTCAGAAATGGGGCAGTTTGGGCTTAAAAATCTGCATTCAGGCATCGAGGCTGGTGTGAAAACCATCTCGTGAAGCTCTTGTAAAGGTGTCAGCTCTGGGGGATCTTCCTCAGACCCAAAAGAGCAGAGGCAGAAAAAATGCCCTTTAAATAATTTATCCCTACCCCTGGATGTCCTTCTAACAGGGAATGTAAAGACCCACGTTGATGACAATCACTGGTACGAACCCACACAGGCACATTTCACAACCATTATCCCTCCAGCTGCTCCCACAGCCCGGCAGGAGCCAGCCAGAGCAGCCAGGATCTGTTCCTGGGCACAGGGATTCTCTGGGACAGTCACAACCCAGCACCCAAGCCTGCATTTCAGGGTGCCAGAGGGTCCAGCGAGACACTTGAGGTCACAGGAGTGTGAAGGCATGAGGCAACTCTGGAAAGATTCTGCTTGGAGTGAGCATGGAAGCCAACAGGAGCCTTCAGGACTTTATTTTTAGAGAGAAGATAAGTGCTTGCACTTGGTAGCTTCATGTTGCTTCAAGAACTAACCTCAAATAACTCTAAGAACAGTTCTTCAAGAGCAACACTGGCTCGTGTTGCTGTTTCAGGGCCTCGGTGAAGTGTCCCTGTCACAAAGTGGGGTCAGAAACGGGCAGGAGGAATTTACAACTCGTGCTGATATTAAAAACCCTGAGTAAATCCTACTGTGAATTGTAACCTGAAGCCCCAGGCAGCTGCAGCACGGCCCAGGACAGGGAGAGGCAGCAACAGCTGCCTCCTCTGCTCTTCACAGGGCTCCTGATCCAGCAGCAGCTTCCCAAACGCTGAACTAACGGGAATTACAGCAAATCACACTTAATAACTGAAAAAGTCACGTTGCTGGGGCCCACAGCAGGGCCACACAGCCACGAGAACCTCGTTACCCCCATGGCGTCGAGCCCACTCCGGTTTTCCAAGAATTCCCTGGAGCATTGACCACGGCTCATTGGAACCCCCTGGCTCCGTGCCAGCTCTGGAATTTCTAGGAACCAGCCGTGCCCCTCACGGGTTTGCTGGGTCCCTGCTGCCCCCTCTCACCTGCGCTCGCTTTCTCCTCACAGTTTTGCACGTGGTGGTTTTCGAGCTTCAGCTCCTCCACGCTGGGGCTGGTGACGCCTGGAATGTCGGGAAGGTCGGAGGGGGGTGTTTTGGCCACCGGGGAGTTGCGGCACTCCATCAAAAACTTACGGTCGTAGATGATCCTGGTACCTGGGGGAGGAGGGACAAGAACATGGTCAGGTGCCCCTGCCCAGCGTTGGAGCTGGATGGTCTTTAAGGTCCTTTCCAACCCAAAACCACTCTGGGATTGTTGGATATTTAAGTGATAGCTGTGGTTTAGCACTCACTGCTCAGGCTGTGTTGCCTCACAAGAAAGCCAGGCACCTGAGCCTTCACCTTTACTTACAGATACAGTGTTCAAGCACCCAAATGCTGCCAGGCTGCTGCCCAGGGGGAACACAAGGCTCCAAACCCAGCCCGGTGCTGGAAGCGACAGATCCGGCCCCTTCCACCTCGCCCAAGGTCACAACAACCCGCAGAGCAAACAGAAAATTGAATTTAATTTCCACCCATGGCCAGAAGCAGGGCCAAGAGCTGCAGGTGGACACACCTGGACACACCAGGGGCCAGGCCGTGGCCGTGCCCACACAGACACCTCCCTTGGCAGGGCAGCACTTACACACACCTTGCTCAAGGCTTACACAGAGTTGTTAATGCTCCAAGGGTTAACCAGCCCACAGGCAGCTCTCCCTGCCCAGCAAGACAAGCCAGCTCCAGCCCATCACAGTGAGCCTCCGGGCACGGATTTCTAGGAATACACAGAACAGCCTGTTCCTTGTAAAGGAATTGCATGGAAAAAGCTCCAAAACCACAGGCAGAAAAGGGATCTCCCTCCAAACAGCCCACAGCCTTAACCCAGGAAGTGCTGGAAAAGCGTTTGCTTTCCAAGGGCTGCACACCCCCCTGGATCAGGTCTGTCCTGCCCTGCTCCCGTTCCAGCCAGAGGGAGAGGAACTAGTCCTTGTGACCTCCCCAAAAGTGTTAACTAAAGTACACATGTGTGGGCAAACAGCTCCCGTTACCATCTGTCCTGGAACAGTCAACTCCCTTCGCTTTGAACACTATAAATATAAAATAAATATATATAAACCAACGTGTCCGGGTGTTGTGTTCCAGCAGAGTTCTGCAGGGGAGTTCCCAAAACACTGAACAACTTCTCACTCGGGATTTTGAATTTGAGTTGTTTCACAAGGTGTGTGTGGGGGAAATCCAACCCAACATGCAGCTGGCTGGGAGAGGGGTGTTAAGATTCCTGGGAAGCTCGGGGAGCAGGACTAAGACAGGGATTCCTGGAACTGCAGTTCATGTACCAGCACCAGGAGCTCAGGGGCTTCCACATCCTCTGACAGCCACGTGCCCAGAGCTCCTGAAAGCAAAATGACTCTGGGCTGTCACAGAGCCACAAACAGGCTCCTTCACACCCCCAAAGCTGAGTTCCCTGCTGCTGTAAGGGAGGTCAGGGTGGATTTAGCAGGAAAACCACACCCCACGGGACTCTGCTCCCTGGAAGCCCCGAGGGCCTCACTGTGCCCACAGGGCACACAGGGCAGACACAGAGCCCAAGGCTCACACTCCGTGTCCTCCAGCAGCTCTGAATCATCCCCTCCCTCCAGCACCCAAATCCCAGCCCCGGGGCCAGGCAGCACACGGTGTCCCAAAACAGGTTGGGACAGCCCTGGGTGGGTCATGGGAGTGCCGTGGGCACTGCCAGGTGGGCACACCCCAACCTCAGCTCCAGGCACCCACCAGCTCCCCGGGGACAAACAGCTGACAGCCCTCATTACTCCAGGCCGTTAATTGCTCCTTTCTGTTCTGTTGCTCTTGGCTGAGGCTCAGAGAGCCTCCTGTTCTCCAGCACAATTCCTGCAGGCGCTGCTTTCGGAGGAGGGAACACACTGGCCAAGACAACCCCAAACCTCAGCTTTTCTGCACACACAAAACCCACCGTGTGAGTCAGCAGTGCCACTTCCCCTTCTCTCTGAATTTTAACCCCTGGAACCCCGTGGTGGGTCCGAGGGACCAACAAAACCTCCGCCCCCTCCCGAGTGCAGCTTCACCATTCCCGCTGCTCAAATCCATCTGGACATGGATGCAGGGGGGGAAATTCTTAAAGGTGTGGGAAAAACAGTCATCCCAAACCCCTGCTGGGCGGGAGCAGCTGGAATTCTCCACACTGCCCCTGTGCCAGGTGCCATCACCTGGAGCTGTGGCCGCTTTTCTCGAGGCCAAACTGCCCCAAATAAACACCAGAGCAGGAGAGAGGGTACAAAACCCCTCTGATGGAGGAGCCCTTCGTATAGCCTGTTTATTCCTCTAATTTGAGGATCAAATCCCTGAAGATTCCTGACTCCTGGCAGCTCTGGGGCTGCACAGGACTTGCAGCAAACAAGGAGAGAGAACCAGCCCACGGTCTGTTTGCAGCAGTGGAGCTGCCACATTTCCAGGATTTGGAGCAACCTGGGAATAAGAAATAAAGGAAAAGGCCCCCAAGGTTTGGTGACTGCCGGAGAAAACAGCAAATATTAGAGATTAGAATTCATCAGTAACCCGGGGGGATGCCGGGGGTTGCTCCTTGGGGGGCACAGCCGTGATCCCCAGCCCCGTCCCTTGGCAGGTGGGAGCCCCCCGGACCCCTCATTCCTCCTCCGGGCACAGCCGTGTCCGAATTCCCGGGGGAAATCCCTCCCCAAAGCAGAGCCCCCTCCATCAAGGTGGGGACCCCCCCCTTTCATATCCCCATCCCACCAAGGGCCCCCCAAAGCTCCCCAGAGCCCCGGGGGCAAAGCGGGGGTTTCCCCCTTTCTCCCCCTCCTGGGACAATAAGGGGAGCACCCCCTTGGCCAAAGCGAGCCTCCCCAGCCCCTCCCGGGGATCAGGAGCCCCCCGGCCCCCGCGCCCGTGCCCCGCTCACCGCCCGGCGTGGTCCCGAACACGGTGCCCCCCGGCGTGGTGCTGTAGTCGCCGGGCGGCAGCGCGGCCCCGTCGGGCAGCGCCAGGCACTTGCCGGGGCCCGGGATGTCCCGGCTGGGCGTCTGCCCCTGGCAGCAGCGGCCCGACATGACGGCACCGGGACCGCCGGGATGGGGATCGCCGGGATGGGGATCACCGGGACCGCCGGGATCACCGGGATCGGGATCACCGGGACCGCCGGGATCACCGGGACCGCCGGGATGGGGATCACCGGGATCGGGATCACCGGGACCGCCGCCGCTTCCGCGCCGGGACACGCCCCTTCCGCCGCGCGGGAAAAGGGGGCGGGGCGAGCACCAGAGGAGGCGGAGTTTTGCCTAAACATGGGCAGGGGGCGGGGCAGGGGGCGGGGTTTGGCCTGAACGGCAGCGGGAGTGGGCGTGGTTTAGCTCGATGTGGGCGCGGTCTGTGTGTGGGCGTGGTTTAGCCCTAGAGGGGGCGCGGTTTGACTCAATGGAGGCGTGGCTTGACACGAGAAGAGGCGGAGCCTGACGGTGGGTGGGGCACTGGGCGTGGGTTAAGAGGGCCGTGGGCGGGGTCTGTGCGGGGCACCCCCAGTTCCTCCCCTCCCCGAGGCACCCACCGCCTCTGTCCCCTATTTTGGGGGATCCCCCGCCTCGTTCCGTGCCCCTCTCGCCACGCCGGGACCCCCCAGCAGCGCTGCCCCCGCCCCTTCGTGCAGCGGAGCGGGGGGAGCCGCCGTGGGAGGTCCGGGTGGTCCCTGTGCTGTGGGAGCGCTGCGGGGACAGATGTCTGCCCGGCTCGGGTGGAGAAACCCCATCCCAAATGGCTCTGCCACCCCCGGGGGGCCCGGGGACAAACGCGGCAGGGGCCGGGGGGGCCACACACGCCGCGTCCCCGGGGATGCTCCGATGGGATGGAGCGGTGGAAAAATAGCGTTTGTCTTAATATTTTATTAAATAAAAGTTTTAAGGAGAAGCTGGCGGGGGGCGGCGGCGGGGGGGGGGGGCAGGGTGAGCCGGGAGGGACCCCCGTGCTGGGCAGGGGGAGGCTGGGGCGTCCTGGGACGAAGCCCTGGCACAAAGCCCTTCTGAGCATCCTTGGGACCACCACGAGTATCCGCTGGAAAAAGCCCCTTCAGCCCTTCCCTGCTCCCCCGGCAGTGGCCACAGAGCTCTGCTGACCCTCACTGGACACCGGTCCAGTGCTGACATCTGCTGACGGCCGGGATGCCGGGAGCCAGGATGGATTCCAGCACGGATGCCAGCACGGATGCCAGCAGCGCTCCGCCCTCGCTGGAGCACCGCGAGGTCACTGAGGCTGCGGCAGTGCCCGTCCCTCGGTCGGGACTCGGGGCTGCTCTCCCGGCCCAGGTGGAGGTGGGACACAGCCAGCCCCGTCCTGCCCAAATCATCATCCCGGCTCCAACAGGTGGAGCTCGGTGGCCACACGCTGCTCCGGACCCTGGCCCAGGGCCAAGCTCATCCCTGTGGAGCCACGGGCCAGCCCTGGGGTGCTGGGGGTCCTCGGGGGGGCTCAGAGCCCTTTCCACAGGGCAGCATTTTAGTGGCCAAGGCAGTGATCTCCTGCCAGTCTGGGGCATGGAGAGGGGTGTTTCTGCCCCCCAGGACCCTGAGACCCCCATCAGGCCACGGTGCCAGGCAGGCAGCCCTTGCCCTGTGCCAGCTGCTGAATCGATTAGTGGGCACTGGGGCAGGAAAATAACATTTCCGGCCACGGAATGACATCAGCAGTGACCCCCAACCCAGTGAGGCAGCCACTGCCATTTCCTCCTCCTCCCGGAGAACGGACCATTACAGGGTCAAGGAGCCAGGGGGGGTTTAAAGGTCAAGGTTTAAGGGCACATCCTGGCTGGGGCAGAGCAGGGGCCCCTGCTCCAGGGGTCACCTGCCCTCGGTGCCTGTGGGACCCCTGGTCAGGGTGTGGACAGGGATTGGTTGCAGCAGCATGAGGGGAAACCCTCCAGGGAGTTCCAAATCCCACAAAACACCCTTCTGGAGATGCCCCTTCAGGGGACCAGATCCTTTCTGGTTACAGTATGTTCCTCTCCAGGGCATTTTATCTGCCCATTCCCCGGGCAGCTCCCACTGCTGGAAAGCCCTTTGTCATCCTCATGTGACGCGAGGTTATCGCCCTATTGCCTTCTAAATCGGGAGCACAAGTGCCTCTCCAAGGCGTCTGTCCCTCCACCAGCAGTGTCTTTGCTGCTGACCTGGTATAACCACTGGTAGCTGAGCAAGGGTGGGTTTTGGTGAGGGACTCGCTCCTCCTGGGGAGGGAAATGTGTCTTAAGCCGTGAAATGCCCCCAGCCCTGGTGTGAGAGCAGCCCCGGGGACGGCGGCGGGGGCACCTCCTGCCCAGCCCTGCCATCAGCGGCCCGGCTTCCCCCAGTACTGACTGGGCTGTGATTGCGGGAGGGTTTGCTGAGACAGGAAGAAAATATCCCGAGGGGAGGATAAACTCCTGCCCGGTGGGCAGTGGGGGCTGCTTTCATCTCACCCCATCCATCACCTCCCCCTCCACGGTCCATGTGGCATTCCCAGCCCCACCCCGCACCTCGTCCCTCCCACGGAGGCTTGGGGACCCCACTGCAGCCCCACGCAGGAGGGGGTGATGGTGGATCCCATCCCGGTGAGGATGTCCCTGTGCTGTGGCATTTCCAGCCCGTCCATCTGTGTTTACATTCCCCTCGGATCGCGGCCGGCGATAAGGACAAACCCCGACAAACCCACATCCCTGCTGCCCGCCCAAGGGCTGTTTGTGCAGATAAAAGTTGCCCCATAAACAAGCCCATCCTGCCTTTGGGAAGGGCATCTCCGCCGGCCCCAGCCCTCGGCAGGAAACCCTCACCAGGGCCCCCCGTGTGCCCGTCCCCTGGGCACGGGACAGGGCTGGCACTGCTGGGAGTGCTCAGCACCCCTGGTTGGTTCCTGCTCTTGACATGGGTTAAAAATAGCCACCATGGCAATGGATTCACCATGGCAGCCGTGGCCAGAGCTGGAGGGGAAGCATCTGAACCCCTCTCCTCCTCCTCCTCCTCCTTTTCTTCCTCATTGTTATTGTTGTTGTTGTTGTTGTTTTTCCTCCCTGCAAACATCGGGCTGGAAGCAAACACGACTTGGGATCAGTCCCATGAGGGGACGAGGGGGGCTGGGAAGCAAGGATAGCTGCTGTTGGGTGGTGGGGGCACAGCCAGGAGCTTTGGCAGAGGGTGCCTGGGGCAGGGAAGGGAGCAGAGGAGTGGCAGGGGAGGCAGCCGGGCGGCACGTGGCAGTTTGGCCGATGTCCCGTGGCCGTGGCTGGGCTGGCAGGAGGCTCCACGTGGGGCTCTTGGTACTCGATCCCTCCCCATCTCTGCCAGCTTTCCCCAAAGCAGCTCCTCTCCCCAAACCCTCAATCTCCCACCCTGCTTTGGGGCAGGGCCGGGAATCCCACCACCGGGATGCTCCTGTATCCCTCAGAAAGCCCTGCCTGAAAGCTCAGCTCCCTCCGAGGTTATTTCTGCTGTTGATATTTTCTCACGACACTTCCCACACTTTTTGTGAAATCTGTACCCCTGTTATTGCAAACTTCTCCCTCCTTCCCCCCACCCCGGCTTGCTTTAGCAATAGCTGCAGGAAAACCAGCCCAGATGGGGAAGGAGCTGTGGAAATGTCTGTAAATCCTCTGCAGGTCCTGATGGCAGCACGGGGACTCTCCCTTCTGCGGGTACTTGTGGCTGGAGGGAGATGGGACACGTCTGAAATGAAACCCTGCTGTGAGGTGTGAGAGAAGTGTCAGAAATTGGGAATATCTACCCACAGGCACCGCTCTGGCTGCTGCCATGGGCTGCTGTGGATTTTCCCCTCAGTAACATGGGAAAGAAAACAGCTTTATTAGGACCTATTTTTTAATCTGAAAACATAATTGCGCAGGGATCTGGGGGGCAGGAGCAGGACCTGGGATTGCCTTAGCACAGCCTTTGACACTGGCTGGGTTTCAGGATCCAGATGCCCCTTTCCCTCGTTCTCACAATGCTGCCGTGGCCCTCAGGAAGAGCTGCAGCCCTGGGATGGCAAGTGCTGCTCCAGGATGGTCCTGGAGGGAGATCCCTGCCTCCATCTCCTCTCTGATGGCAAGCAGCATTCTCCATGCCGGGTTTCCTGCCCCTCCAGCCCCATCTGTCCCCTCAAATCCACCCCGGGGTGCCCCGAGGAAGATCCCACCAGCCCTGCCCAGCCCTTGACGGGTACCACGGCTCCTTCCCGCGGGCTGTGTGTCCACAGGGCAAAACGCTGTGGGAACGGGCTGATAAACAGGGAGCGGAGTGACCTCAGCCCCGGCGGCAGCTCCGATCTCCCCGGTGCCCGGGGTCCGCGCTGCCTCTCTCCTCACACCGAGGCACTCGGTCCCAGGAGCTTCTCTTGGAAAACAGGATGTGAGAGTGCGAGACGAGACGCTCCCGGAGACGTGGGAGCTCGGAGCCCCCCGGGGCACGGGGCTCACCCCGGGCTGGGGCGGCAGTGCTAGACTGGCACTGGGATCGTCCCTTTGGGCTGGTGGGGAGGCTGTGCTGGAGTGGCACCGGGATTATCCCAGGGTAACCCACACTCTGAAAACAGCAGCTTGCTTGAGAGTCAGTGAAACAGCACATTTTTGCTCTTTTTTATTGTTCTGACACAGAGATTTTTCCCTTCCTGCCCAAGCTGTCGTGGTGCTGCAGCTCCCAGAGCTGTGCCCGCCTTTGCTGGGGGAGGAGGGTTTATGTGGGGACCAGAGTTTATGTGGAGCTTCCTGCAGGCTTCCTGGGACAGGCAGTACCCAGGGGTTAAAGCTCCATCACAGCGTGTTTATGTGCTGACAAGGAAACGTGATGACAGAGAATCCCAAACAACTTCAAAGCAAGATTTGTGGATTTGATATGGAAACTATTTGGAAAAGTCTCAGTGAGGAGGGAGAGCCCCCGACTCACCACCACTGGGGACACACAGCCAGAGCAGGACCCGTTCCCAAAGCACAGCCTGGCCCAGGTGCCCGTTCCACAGAGCCTGGTGCTCCCTCCCTGGGGAGGGGATTTGGGGTAAAACGTTGCTCCTCTGCTTTGGCAGAGGGAAGAGCATCACACAGTCCTCACCCGACCCCTGTGCTGTCCCAAGTGTCCCCCACGGCCCTGGATCCCAGGCAGGGTCTTCCCTGCAACCTTGAGCCCCATCTCACCTCTTGGCAAGAGGGGGGTAGTGCAGCCCCCTCCCCCAGGGAGCATTTGGCGGTGAGGGAGGCAGA